ATTCCCAGATGACTAGGCATTCCATCACAGGATGAGCTAGAAGGTCAGCATAAGATAAAGGATATAAAGACCTTGCTGATATAACAGGTTGCAGTCAAGAAGCTGGCTAAAACCCACCAAAATCAAAATGGTGATGAGAGTGACCTCTGGTTGTGCTCACTGCTACACTCCCAACAGCACCGTGACAGTTTACAAATGCCATGACCACATCAGGAAGTTACCGTATATGGTCTAAAAAGGGGAGACACAAATAATCCACCCCACCTTTTTTGTTTAGCATATAATCAATAAATAACCATGAAAATGAGCAAGCTCAGGGCTTCTCCATCTATGGAGTAGCCACTGTTTTATTCATTTACTTTCTTAATAAACTTGCTTTTACTTAAAAAACATAGTAAGAAGGTATCACAGAAAAACAAGGCAAAATAAAGGGTGCACACCAGAGTGCTTAAAAACAGGTGGAGATAGCATGGAGCATGCAAAAAATGTAGGGGTCATGGGGACTCTGCCCCTTGGCCATGGTCCCTGGTGCTCACATGCAAAGCAAAATATTTGGATTCAGTCACCAAGGCTCCACCACTGAAACTGATTTCTCGTGATATTTTCTGATTGGACACTGATGTCAACAAAAATTGGTGCATGTGTTGTGTCTTTGCTGGAAACTGTGAAGTCAAAACATTTCATGTATTAATTTAGTATGTTTTAAGGTGAAAAAAGTCATTATAGCAAAAAATAAGTCATCATTCATAAAGCAGTCTTATGTTCTGAGTCACAGCTAAGCAGCTGCATTGTGTTGGGAAGCACCACTGGGATGGTAGAGAGGTGGGTAAGTGTGCACAGGCTGAACAGATGTGAGTGTCCATCATGGGTAACATTGGGGTGGCAGCCCCTGGACTTCAGGTTCTGACTCCAACTGTGGGTAATCGATTCTCGTCTTTGGCAAAGCTGCTCTTCTTTTAAAGATCAGGTTGGTTTGCCTTGTGGACTCTATAATGCTTGTAATTAGTTGGTTTTCCTTGGCCAGTGGTCAGCTCAGAATCCATGTGCTCCACTTGGTGACCAAAGGCAGGCCACCCCGGTCACCCACCTGCCAGGCCACTCAGAACTTCACCTTCCCTCCTGTCTCCTTTCCTTGGACTTTCATTTTCGTGTCTTCCTGATTTCTCTATCTTTGGGTCTCTCCCATTATGATGAATATATTTCCTCAAGCTTCTTCACTTCTTTTTGGAATAAGGAAGAAAACAGGAGGTAGAAACATTTTGTTACTCGTTTGCATGAGAAAAAACAGCAAAAGAAGACAATGTTTTATTTCTTTTTTGGGAGGCCTTCATTTTTTATTAGTTTTAAAGATCAGTCTTCCTTTCAAATAATCACTTCATGCATTTCTTTTTGTTTTTCACTAACATTTGGCCAACTATTCAGTTATGACATATCTAAAGATTGGAAGCAAGATTTCCTAAAGTTCAGAAGTGAAACCGTATGAACAAACATGGAGGGAGCTGAGTATATCGACCAGAGAGGAGGGGAAGATGCTGCCTTTTCCATCGAAGCCCCATTTCCTCTGCTCACATACCTGAGAAGGGCGGCAGGTGCAGTGGGGTTAGCAGTATCCCTGAGGAAGAGGAGAAATTCTAGACTGCTTCATATCAGAGCCAGTGATTGCCTATGAGAAATAACTGAGACTGTCACCCTGATTTGGTCTCTGAAAGCATGATTATTCAAACAAAGGTGGTGAGACTCTGCAGCCAGAAAACACTTGCCTGGGGCTGTGATTCTCCAACCTGAGAGAGGAGAACTCCCTGCATGGTTGCAGCCAGAGGCTCTGCCACAGCAAGTGTGGGCTGGGCTGGATCATCTGCGCATGTAACAAGTTCCTGGGTGATGCTGTGTTGCTGGTCTGGTGTGTGGTTGTGCAAGACATGGTGACTCTGCTGGACAGAACGTACATCCTCTCCCTGTGTGAGTGTCCAAACTCCTGACATCAGCTGTTGGGTGGCTCAGGGGAAAGAGTTATTCCTGCCGCCTCCCAGCAAAACCCTTCTGTACCCAACTCAAGCCAACCAGAAATACAGTTTTTTAAAAAAACTTAAAGGTTTGCAAAGAGGAGAAATCAGCTGTGAAGACTAGTAAAACAGACCAAAAGCTAGTCAAGAAGTCTGCTTTTAGAAAACTTGCTGTCAATAAACAAAAGTTATTTTTGCTTATATTGCTGGTGCTTTTGTTGTATGTCCAAAAAATCGTTACCAAGACCAATCTAAAGAAGCTTTTTCCCTGTTTTCTTCTAGGAGTTTTACTGTTTCAAGTTTTACATTTAAGTACTCAATCCATTTTGAGTTAATTTTTGTATATGATGTAAGGTAAAGGTACACTTTTATTCTTTTTTTTTTTATGTGGATAAACAGTTTTCCCAGCACTATTTATTGAAGAGACTATCTTTTCCTCATTGAACTCCTGGCACCTTTGTCCAAGAATAGTTGACCTTATATGGGTGGATTTGTTTCCAGGCATTCAGTTTGGTTCCATTGGAATATATGTCTGTTTTTATTGTTCCATTGGTCTATGTGTCTGTTTTTAACAGTACCATGCTGTTTTGATTACTATAGCTTTGTAATATAGTTTGAAATCAGGTAGGTGATGACTCTAGTTTTCTTCTTTTTTCTTAATATTGCTTTGGCTATTTGGGGTCTTTTGTGCTTCCATATGAATGTTAGGATTGTTTTTCTTTTATTGTAGCATTATTCACAATAGCCAAGATATGGAACCAACCTAAGTGTTGGTCAACAGATGAATGGATAAAGAAAATGTGTCATATATGTACAATGAAATATTTTTAAGCCATAAAAATAGAAGGAGATCCTGAAATGTATAACAACACAGATGAACATGGAGGACATTATGCTAAGTAAAATAAACCAGACACAGAAAGACAAATACCACATGATCTCACTTACAAGGAAAATCTTAAAAAGTTAAATTTATAGAAACAGAGAGAAGAATGGTGGTTGCTAGAGGCTGGGGGCTGGGGGAAATGGGGAAATATTGGTCAAATTGTACAAACTTGCAGTTATAAGATGAGTCAGTTCTGCAGATCTAATGTACAGCATGGTAATATAGTTAACAATACTATATTGTGTATTTGAAATTTGCTAAGAGATTAGATCTTAAGTGTCCTCACTGCCCCCTATGCGCACATACCATGGTAATTATGTAGGGTGATGGTTGTGTTCATTAATTGTATTGTGATGATCATTTCACAATGTATGTGTATATCAAATCATCACATTGTATACCTTAAATATATACAATTTTTTATCTGGCAATTGTACCTCAATAAAGCTGGGAAACAAATCCAAAAACAAACACCCCCCCATCAAAAAACAACAACAACAACAACAACAAACAAATGAAATAAATCAAGAGAAGTTCGCACTGTCCATGGCAAGCAGTGGTAACAGGAAGATTCGGCCTGTTCCCTGGGGATGAGTAATAACATCATGGGATGAGAAATGACCAGAAATAGCAAAGTGCAGCCGCTTCTCCCAGCTGGTTTCAGGAAGCAGCAGAGTCTGCGGTAGGGGCTTTGGAGCATAGACCACGTCCTGCACGGAGCAGGGGAAATTTCTCATTATTCAGGACTGAAGGCTTCTCTGTACCATCTGTCTGTCCTTGACAGAGTATTCTAAATATTCCCCTTGATATGAATAATCTGCAGCATCCATTTCCCAGCCAATGAAGACAGTGTAGTGAGGAAGCAGATGCCTCGCAGGCTTCCTGGAACTTGCCCAGAACCTGGGAACCTGTGCAGGTTCATCCAGGCAGCATCTCTGCTTGCCTTTCCCTCCGCTCGGTTTTTACCAACATCAGCCTTTTCTGTCCCCAGTAGGATGTGCAACATCCCCCTGAACTCTGCCCTGCTCTGTCATCCTTGGAGGATCGTGGTTGCTGTGGGTGCCATAGAGCTCTGTGGATCCAGAATGCTGAATGAGAAGACGGAAGGACTTGGGAAGTCATGAGGTTCTGATGGAGGAGCTGGGGATGTGTCCTGTAGAAACGAGGGCTCTAATTTCAAACCTGTCCTTCCTTTTGCTCTTGAGGGGTCACTCATGCACACTGTGCAGACTTTCAAGGGCCTCTGCAGAGCAAGAGTTGTCATAGGCACAGGTTGCTCTCGTCCTGCATCATGGTAGGTGGGGAGGGTCCTCTCTGGGAGGCAGGTGTCGTTCAGTCCAAGTGAGAAAAGCTCTCTCGAGAGACAGTCCCATGACAGCACGGGGCCGGTCAGGACCCCCATGCGTGCCTTCCTGAGAACATGTCCAGGTGGAGGCTGGTCACTGTCCGCCAGGGCCTTTGCTAAGGGACTTCCTTCTAATGGTAAAAGATAAAACTAAATTACCTTAACATTTCTTCTAACCTGGATTTAAAAACTTGATTTTGTGCAAATATCTACACTTACAAAAAATAGACCATTGAAATAATTATTTTAATAGAAAAAGAGAGATCATTGGCAGGACAAAACTTTGAGGATAGCAAACAAAAGCCAAAAAATATTTTTGGGAAGCAATGAAAAGATCCATTCTTAAAAGATGAGCTCTTTCCAAAGAAATAGCTAGACGTTTAGGGTATTGAAATGGAGAACAGAATATCTACCCTCCTGCGGGTTTTGCCCAAGGGGATGTAACTTCTGACAGGTTCCTAAACTTTTAATGCAGAGTGTGGGCTTTGTGATTTAGTTTTGGTCAGTTTTGTGGGAAAATTATCATTTTTCTTCTAAAATAGCAACACCTAAAGTCTAATATTTAATTATAACTTGTAGCTAAAGCTGTTTTCCATGGGCAAAAAATGTCTGATTTTATCATAGAAATCAATGCAGAAATAGGGTTTAGTTCCCTGGAGTTTACTTTGCAGGCTATGGAGCAGAACTATTCTTAAAGCCAATTGGAGAACCCTGGACCGGTGGCCTCACTCCCTGGGCGTCATCTTCCAGACTGAACATGTCTCACCTTGGCATGGCCTTCTCTGTAGCTGGGCTGGTGGTGGTCCAGTCATGTACCTCTGTGTGTGTGGGCCTTGAAGCCCACACAGCTTCTTCCAGATGCAAACGCATCACCACCCTTACAAAGCAGCAAGAACAAACCTGGGGTTTCTTTCGGATACTATTGAGGGTCTTCATCTGGAAAAAAATAGGAGGAGAACAAGTAGGCTTCTAAGAGACTCTAAAACACCTTGAATTAGTGCTTCCCTCAGACACACTTGTCAACCAAGATGTGCAGGTACTTCTGGAAGGCGAATCCCATCAAACATCCTTCCATATTTAAGAATGGAACCAGGTAGAGCTCTGTGGGTGTGCAGTGCTTCTCACCAACCAAAGCACTCAGGACTCTGCTTCCCCAGTGATCGGCACCACAGTTTGCCTGGCACTTTCCACCTGGCCGTGTCTGCAACTCAGAGCAGAGGCTGAGGGAGTCCACCTGCAAAGGACATTCCGAAACACGGGAGGGTTTCAAGCTTCACGCCTCTTTGGCGTTTCCCAGGCTCTCCTCACGGTATCAGCAGGGTCCACATCGCAAACTTCAGGAGATGGGAGCAAGAGGGGCCTGTTGGGCGACCAAGCTGTTGTGGTTGCTGGGCTCCCTCTTCACGGCCTGTCAGCCCCACCCCAGGGCATCCCTCACCTGCTGGTCACAGACTCTGTCTGCCTTGGCCTCCAGGTCCTTAACTCTGGCTCTTAGGAACAATAAATGAACAGCATGGGTCCTTGACCTGCAGGAAAGAGTGGGGGCAGCCCTGGGGCTGCGATGTTATTTTATAACATTTATTTTTTTCTCGTTACAGGATGAATATGTGTTCGTGGTAAAAAATTATAAGAATAGAACCATGAAAAAAATGGGCTATACCTGTTCTGGCCCACTCAGGTCACCACTGTCTCCTTGCTTCTACTTTGAAGCCCCACGGCTGCCTCCTGCCCAGTGGCGGGGCACCATTTAAATGGGACCATTTTTCTACTGAAGCCTCTCCATGTACTTAGGATGAAACCCAAATCCCCTGGCCTGGTGGACGTGCCCTCCTTCTTTTAAATGCTGTTCTCACTCCCCTTTACGTCTGTGCCCCTCATTGTCTGCGCCGTCCCCATGTGGAAGACATCCCATCCCCTCAATCGTTAGTGCTGTGGAGCTGGCCCCATACCCTCCATCCCTTTCTCTACGTTATACCCGCTTTACTCTCAGAACAGGTCTTACCGCTATCTGCAGTTATCGTTTTTGGTTCTTATTCACTGCCCTTTCCCACTGAGAGGGTCAGCGTCATGAGATCAGAGCTCGTCAGGTTGGTGCTTCGTCAGCGAGGTGAGGAGTGAGCTCCTCGAGCTCACCTGTGGGTTGGGGATGGGACAGTTTCTGAGCAGAAGTGTTAAGTTGTCCTCCAGAGAGTCTGTGCCAATTTCCATGTCCACCAGTGTGCTTGGGAGCATGTCCAGTTTCTCCACCCCTTGCGAGGCCTGTGGGGATCTTGGACTCAGTTCCCGTGAGCAGCCTCTTGCGACAGCCATTGGTTGATGTTCACCATCTGTGTGGGTTCTTGGTTACCCCTGCATCAAACATCAACTCTGTGATGAATCCACTCATTCCCAACCACTGCTTTTCAAAGTCACCCCATCACCCTTCCCCTTTCCTCTGAGTTTCCCTGAAAGGGATGAAATTTCTCAGAAGGATTCGGTTGCCTTTAAGATGCCATGATGTGCTCGGTGGCCTTGAATTAAACACCCCACCACATGGTTACACCCGGGCTGACTGGCTGCCCATGCGCTTCCCACGAATGGCATGTGCTCCATACATGTGTGTGTGCTTTCTGCTTCCCTCATCACTGCAATCCAGAGACAGAGTTTCTGCATGTCCTGTTTTGCAGATGGAAACTGAATTTTAAGCCGCACAGCTACTAAATGCGTGAACCAGGATTTGAGTCTAATGTCACCCGTGCATTTATGACTTCATTCATTCTGTGTCTACACCATGTGCAGCCCTGCTATGTGAGAGTGTGAGATGCGCTGTGCTGAGTGCTGAGAATGCAATTCTGAACAAGACGTACTTCCTGTCCTTGCAGAGTTTACACTTCAGTAGGGAGGACAAATAACTATAGGCTTTAAATTGCAACTATAGTAAGTACAACAAAGAAGAAATACGGAGACCCATTAAAACATATAACAGGGTTTGGGAACCATTTTAGGGGTTCCAGGAAGGTTTGGAGAGAGAGTCCTGTAAAGGGGAGCTGAGGTGGCCCAGCCACCCCAGTCCCCAGCCCCCAGCCTCCAGCCCCAAAACCTTTCAGCCCTTTTAGCTCAATTTAGCTCATGAATGACCCTATCCTCAGCTCATCCTCAGTTCAGTTTAGCCACATGAATGACCCTAAGCAAAATCAACAGAGGTCAAACCACAGTAAGAAACACACATGATTGTTTTTAAGCCACTAAGTTTTGGGGTGGTTTTATACACAATAATAGAAAACCAAAATAGAATTCAATGGCTAAACAGAAAATTACATCTTACATTTTTGCTTGTGGTCATTTGGACTGAAGTGCTCAGTCAAGTCAATGTTTTTGCAGCTCATTTGCTGCCATTATAAGACAGAATATAGCATATTAGCCATTCAAGGCCCCTAGGTTCTCTAAGGGTAGAATGATTACTTTTACAGGCACTTGGATAAATGGAAGAAAAAGAAGTTCAAATCCCAACATATGTCCCCAAACCAAGGTCTTCCGAAAAATGTGTGTTAATAGAATCTCTTCTTTCTTCTTCCCATAGGGTGATGGTGGCCAAGAATCAGAAGTAAGTTGGATCCAGTGGCTTGCCAAGTTGGGGAATAGAGCCATGGAATGCTGGAGTAGGGAGATTTTGGGGGATGGGAAGCCTCAGAGCACGTGAACCAACCCAGCCTCTTGCACGCATACACTCCCCATGTTTCTTTTTGAAGATGCTGTCATGTCCTGGCCAGAGAGAATTACCCTGAAAGAGTACAGGTCTGCAATTATACTCAATCCTTGGGCGGGTGAATTTCAGAGTCAAATCACACGGGAGAAAGCGTTCTGTGGTAGTTTTAACACATCCACAGTTTCATGTGGTCTCCCCTTGAACCTGGGTGGGCCTTTGTGATGGTCTGTGACTTCTGAGGCTTGGTGAGCTAAGCCCACACAGCTGTGCCTGTTTCTCTTGGGACATTTGCTCTGGGGACCTCCAGCTGTCCTGTAAGAAGTCCAGCTATGCCGGGGCTGCTGGGTGAAAGGAATACATACAGGAACGGGCGAGAGGCCTCAGCGGTGGCAGCTTCCAGAAGTTTGAGCTTTTCAAGCCCAGGAGCCAGACATATGAATGAGGAAACCTCAAAGGCTTCTTGAAGATGTCCTTCCGTTGCCACCGTCCGACTGTAACCACATGAGAGACCTTGGTGAGAACAGTCCAGCTAAGCTCAGTCAAGCCACAGAATGAGGAGAGGTAATAACAGTGTGTGATTGTATTGTTCCGAGCCACTCTTTGGGACTCAGAAGGCTGGTATACTCGTTTACCAAATATACTGTGTGACAATGCTGTTTACAAAGGGAATATCTCGGGAATAGGTATATGAACCTGTGCTAAGGGTACAGAACCTGTACTAAGCAGCAAGTGTCTTAAGGAGGAGGGAGGAGAAATATCACAAGACAGTGAGATGGCTGATTTTTTGTGTCAACTCGGCTAGGCTATGGTACCCAGTTGCTTGGTCAAACATCAGTCTAGATGTTGCTGTGAGGGTGCTTTGTGGATGGCATTAACGTTTACAATCAGTTGATGTTAATTAAAATAGGTTACCCCCCATAGTGTGGGTGGGCCTCATCCAATCAGTGGGAAGCTGACTGCAACACAGAAATCCTGCCTGACTTGCCAGCCTTCAAACTCAGGACTGCAACATCAACTCTTTGCTGAGTCTCCAGCGCTGTCTTACAGTTGTCAGGCTTGCCAGCCTCCACAGTCATGTGAGTCATGTCCTTAAATCCTCTCTAGATACAGATAGACATAGAGATATAGAAATAGATTAGATATCAGATGTAGATACAGATACAGGCACAGATATAGACAAAGATTAGATATAAGTTAGGCACAGATACAGGTACAGATACAGACACAGATACAAATACAAATGCAGATATAGATCTAGATACCCTATGGGTTCCGTATCTCTGGAGAACCTTGACTGATGAAACAGTAAAGCTTGGCACATGTGTGAACTTGGCGGAGGGTAATGGCAGCACAGCCTCTCCAAAGGGAAGGACATTTTACTTGTCCTCGCACCCCCATTGCTAGGAAGGAAATATGATTCTGGTTTGGCTTCTTTAAAATGCAGTGGCAGGCCAAGTGTGATGGCTCACACCTGAAATCCCAGTGCTTGGGGAGGCTGAGGCAGGAGGATGGCTTGAGGCCAGGAGTTCAAGATCAGCCTGGGTGACATAGTGGATCTTGTCTCTACAAAAAAATGTTTAAAAATGCAGCAGCATCGGGCACCAAGTTTGGGTATGTGTGTGGGTTCACCAGGTGGCTGGCAGCTGTGGGTGAAGCTCAGAGACACAGCAGACTCTCCAGCTGGGCAGGGCAGCACAGCCATGGCTCTGCCATGGGCCTTGGAGACATTGCATGGTCACGAGGCTTAGGGTCCTGTGTGGAGTCTCTGGCCATCTCATATGGAATCACAGGGCAGCCCCCTGGCATTTGAAGCACACCAGAACCATTGCAGCTTGATGGCAGGTGGTTCTACTGCTTCAAGGAACTTAATTCTGCCAACAACCATGAGAGCTTGGAGGAGGACCCCAAGCCTTGCGTGGGACGTAGCCCTGGCTAGTGCTTTGACTGCAATCTTGTGAAACCCTGTGCAGAGATTCCAGCCAAGCTTTACCCAGACCCCTGACCAACAGAAACTGTGGCACAGTAAATGGGTGTTTTCTTTTTCTTTTTTCTTTTTATTTTTTGAGACAGGGTCTTACTCTGTCGCCCAGGCTGGAGTGCAGTGGCATGATCTCTGCTTGCTGCAACCGCCACCTCCTGGGTTCAAATGATTTTCCCATCTCAGCCATCTGAGTAGCTGGGAATATAGGCATGTGCCACCATGCCTGGCTAATTTTTGTATTTTAATAGAGAAGGGGTTTCACCATGTTAGCTAGGCTGAACTTGAACTCCTGACCTCAAGTGATCTGCCAGCCTCTGCCTCCCACAGTGCTGGGATTACAGACGTGAGCCACCGTGCCTTGCCATAAATGAGTGTTTTAACCACCAAGTTTGTAGAAGTATGTTATGCAATAATACAAAAATAATACAAATAGTAATTAACCATACAGCTTTGGCTGCTGATTGAGATTCTGGCATCCTCTAACTCATTTTTTGTTAAAGTCGGGAGTATCCACAAGCACTTGTCACCCGGGGGCACTGGTAAATACTGGATGGGGCTTGGCCATTCCCTGAAGGCATCAATTCTCACTCATTCACTCTCTCTGTCTCTGCAAACTGAAGGGAGCCAGATTCTGTCTTGCCTGCCTCCTGAAAACTGGCGTGGCATTAAAAATCTAGGCCAGGGCAGCTGGAAGCCCCCACCAGGGGTTCTTTATTAATGATGCAAAGATGCTGGGTAACTTAGAGACCATTCCTGGGGGAGCTGGCTGAGCCAGGAGGGTGGTCTAGGGGTTGGGGGAGACTGTGGTGGTGGCAGTGATTCCT